GTAATGATTACTGTAGCTTTGGAATATAAGTTGAAACCGGAAATGTGATGCTTCCTGCTTTGATTTTCTTCTCAGAATTGCTTTGTCTGTTTAGGGACTTTTGTGGTTTTCTACAAATATTAGGATTGGCTTTTCTATTTCTGTAGAAAACACCATCGGAATCTTGATAAGGCTTTCATTGACTCTATAGATGGCTTTGGGTGTTATGGACAGTTTAACATTATTAATTCTTTTGATTCATGGACATGGGCTGCCTGTCTCTTTATGCCTTCAGTTTCTTTTCTTAATGTCTTATAGTTCCCAGTGTAGATATCTTTCACCCCCTTGGTTATATTTATTCCTACGCTTTATATTATATTGATGTTGTTGATGCTGGGGTTTTTAAGTTTCTTTTTCAGTTGTTTGGAAATACAATTAAGACAAATACAAATGACTTTCTTTTTATTGACCTATAGTTGATTTACAATATTGTGCTAGTTTCAGGCATACAGCAAAATGATTCAGTTTTATATTTATATTTCTTGTTCAGATTCTCTTCCATTATAGGTTATTACAAGAGACTGAATATAAGTCCCTGTGCTATACAGTAAATCCTTCTGTTTATCCATGTCATATATAATTAAACAGGAATTCTATTGCTCTAGGCTTTTAAATTTCAATGTTCTCTCTGGACAAGCACATACAAACACTGATGTAAAAATCAGAAACATACCCGAAAACTTAAAACCTTTCATATTACACCTTGAGGTTCTCTCTTTGGTTCCATAATTTTCTGCCTTTCCTCAAATTGAATTTCTCAATTAACTTACAGTTGCAGAGTTCAAGTGCTAAGAGAATCTAGGGCCAAAGGGCTGCAATATTCATGGATAAAGAAATCTAAAGGGAAGAAAGAAATATGGGAAGCGGGACAGACAAGCAGCCTGCTTCCCATGGAACAGAAGGCAAACCACATTCAGAAACACCTGCTAAGAGCATGAAAAAAGGAAACAAATGTTAACACCAGCAATGTAAAATTGTTATATTTTACTTTTCTGAAATTCACCTCTTTCTTCAGTTTACACTTTTGTAAAATGGAGACTTCAAAAAAAAAGTGAATAAATCTTTTTTGTGTGACAAACGCAGGGAGGAGCAATGCTGACAGGACAGATGACCCAGGAAGTTTCCCAAGATATACCCACACCCAGACTTCCCGTAGGATGTCTGTGCCCAGAAAAC